ACAACTGTGGAATCACTTCTGCCTCATGACTGTGGTCCCAGCTCCCCAACCCACCAGCTGGTGACCTTGGGCAGATTACTTCTGGGACTCAGTTTCCCCTTCTGTAAACTGTGGATAACCTATCTGATAGGGATCTTGTGGGAATTAAGTGACGATGCGCATAGCAAAGGCTCATTAAATGGGAATTTTCTTTCCTCAACCACTGTTACTCTCAAAAACAGAGATTTGGGGACTTTTGCCGACTTGCAGCATCCAGAGTTGGAAGTGCTTGAAAGGGCCATGTCTAACTCTTGGTTTGATAGAGAAACTGAGGCCCAGAGGGCAGAGGCAGGTTGGGGGTGGGTAGCAAGCATCCCAAGAGAAGCTGCTGCTTCTAGGCTATGTGACCTCAGGCTGGTCAAAGAACCTCTCTATGCCTGTGCTTCTCCATTTATAAAATGGAGCTAATAATGTAAGTCCTACCTACAGTGACCTCGCAGGGATACCATGAGAGGGACCGAGCTGATGCATGACAGCAGGGCCCAGGAGGGCTCCATTCACAGCCACGGCGCCAGCCCTCAGCCCAGCGCCTGGCACAGACGTGTTCACAACCATCTGCTGAATAAAGAGGGGAGCACGAGCCTCTGGGGCCCTCGTTTCAGAGATTCTAGGGGCCATGGTTCGGACCCACTATGTCATACTCTCAGGTGTGGGGGGGGCAACAGGCACTTGTATTTTTAGCAGCTCCCCATCTGATATTGTGTACTTCTCATCACATGTCATTTGTGGATAGACAGTATATGCGCACTGGATGAAAGAGCAGCCAAGGAGAAGCCTGTGGCCCACGTCCCAAACCCCCTCCCCAGAGGCAGGCCTGCAAGCAGCCTCTTGCGTGTTCCAGGGACTTTTGGTTTGAGAGCTCTTTTGCACGATGAGCAGAGACTGAAGGGAGAGGCAGTGCTTTATGGGCCACTGCATCCCCAAACCCAGCAAGGGGCCCGCAAACACGTAGCCTTCCCTGCACCAGGCAGTCTTCTAAGTGCTTTATTGATCTGAATTCATTTAGTGGTCACAGTATTACCTATGAGGTAGATACTATTATTATCCCCATTTAAGGCTGGGAGCCTGAGGCAGAGTGAAGAAACTTGCCCGATGGCACCCAGCTGGTAAGTGGCAGAGCCAAGATTTGAACTCAGACAGACTGACATCCATCTTTCTAACCACTGTGTACACTATTCTTGGTGAATGTTTGCTGACTCTTATACTTTCAGAATAAATGAAAGCACAAATGAATGAACAAATGGACATGGTGCACACTGGTCTCATAAGACCAAGGTAAGAAATTGTATTCTGTCCTCACCCTCCACCTCAGATGCAATGTAATCTGGGAGGTGAGACCTAGCTCTCCATGGAAGAGCAGCAACGTTTCCCACACTGCTGGCTGCCCTGGGGTGCCAGAGGAGGGTCACCCACCTTCTGAGTGCAGCGTGGTCCCCATCTCCAGGGGAATGACCAGCAACGGGAAGACCCCGCTGAGTCCTACCATGAGTGAGCCCAGCAGGGAGCAGATCCAGGTGTCTAGCCTCTCCCCACTCAGCAGGGATCCCCAGGACTCGCTTTCCTTGTTGTCCAGGCGACAGGCTGCTGCAGCCCCCCGGTTCCAGAGGTCCTGCTGGGAACCCCCAGCCCCTCCCAGGAGTTCCAGGGCAACAGCAGTGAGCAAGAGGAGCCTTTGGCCCGCCATGCCACAGCCAAGACAGGGACATCCAGGCATGCCACGTGCTGAAAAACACAAACGCCACTTACCTGAGCTGCCGCCCTTGGCCGAACACCTACTTATAAAACATGGCATCTTACCCTTCCCCACACCCCATGTGCCATGGCATCCACCTTCCTGCTTGCCTGGCCCAGGATCCGAATGGTGGGTACACAAAGCAAAGGGGCTTTGCTGCTCCACACTCCACTCCCAAGGACCACACATTTTTTCCTTCTGAGCCAGCTCCAGACGGTGTGTCAGCATGTCCGCCTGAGGCTAAACTTTCCCTAATGACAGGGTGAGGCGCTGGCTGAGCTCCCTTCGGCCACCGGCAGGCCCAGCCCAGCCTGGTGTCTCTGGCTGCCAGGGGAGCTTTTGCTGCCAGGATGTGCCCTGTGAGAACACCCTGGGGACTGAGGCTGGCACTATCTAGCTTCATGGGGTGACATTAGGAGATGCAGGTGGGGAACCAAGCAGCTGGGCTAGGGCAGAGCCAGCAGAGCTTCTTCCTAGGAAATGAGCCCAATGTCCCTGGGGCACAGAGACAGACAGGTGGTGGGACTGAAGAGAAAGGATCCTTCAGTCAGGAGCTGCCTCACAGATGCTCAGACACTGGCTTTGGAGACTCGCCATCAACTTTGTGCTCTGCACTTACAGCTGTCTGACCGCGGGCAAGTCCCTGAAGCCCCCTCTCTGGGCCTCTGTCTGACTGCGGGCAAGTCCCTGAAGCCCCCTCTCTGGGCCTCAGTTTATAGGATAAAGATAAGGACTGCTTCCCTCACACAGCTATGCAGATGAGATGAGCCTGCTAATGCAGGTGAACGTGCCTGGTATGGAGAAGGCATAGAGTGCCCTCCTTAAGTTGCAGGGGGCCCAGAGCACTGGGCAGCAGGAGTGTACCCAGCCTGTAATCACAGGAGGATGTGAGTCAACCAAGAGAGAAGTTCAATCTGGAAACTCAGGCATGAGTTCTAAATGTGGTCTGCTCTGCCTCGTGCTGGCTGTGACCTTGAGCTAACTAGTAATGTCCCTGCCTCAGTGTCCTCCTCTGATGCTGGAGGTGGAAGGGAGGAAAAGCAGCTGCCTCCGGCCGTGGAAAAGATGCCCAAGTCCAGGATCTCCAGGCCTGAACCGGAGACCCTGATGAAACCCTCTGGGCTCTACTGGGGACCAAAAGCAGGACTGGGCCAGACCAGGCTTGGAGGCTGAGACGGGTCACGTAGAGGTGAGGGGACCACAGGTTTGGGAGAGGGGAATGGGCACGGAGATAGTAAGAGAGGAAAGAAAGGAGAGAAAGTAAGAGTCAGAGAGAGCAAGCCAGAAATAGTGGGAAAGGCAGATGAGGAGGCGGAGAGCAAGGGAGAGATGGGGAGCGATGTGTGGGCGACAGGGAAGAAGAGCCCAAGGAAGTTTAACTCTGGGTTCTGCCGAGAGAACCTGGTCAGCCCAAGACGAGCCGGGCCAGGGTCGGGGGGATCGCCGGGTCTGTCTCGCCCGGGGCGCGGACCCTGAGGGTCGGGCACTCACTCACCGTGCGGCTGCGGCGATGGCGCTCCTGTGGCGCCGCGCCCCGTCCCGGGTCTGCCCCGCCCGTCCCGGCAGGCCGGCCCCTCGCCCGGAGCCGCCCCCCGCGCGCAGCCACGTCACACGGGACCCATCCGGAACTCGTCGCGCCGCGCGCCGCGGGGTCGCGGGGAGCGGCCGTCGGGACGCGCTTCCGCTTCGCGGCCATGGGGGACCCGAGCTGGTGGCGCACTTCCGCTCGGGCACGACGGGGAGGGACGGGCGGAAGTGGGAGACCCGTGGTCACCGCGCTCAGCCGGGCTGGGCAGGGTGGAGGCGGTGGCCCCGCAGAGACCGCGAGCGGCCGGGCGGCTGGGCTTGCGGGTCCGGCCGCCGCTTCTTCTCTAGGGCTGCAGTCCCTGCCGCGTCCGCACGGGGGCGCGCTAGGCTTCCAGGCTCGTAGCCGCCGGCCGCGCCAGCCCCGGTCCCGGGTGGGAGGATGGCTGCGGCACTCCAGCTCTGAGTCAGCCCGGCCTGGCTCCTCCATGTCAAGGGAAAAGGGGAAGTGCCTGCCGCAGGGAGGGGCCTAGCCCCGGGAACCTCAGAAGAGGGAATTTTATTCTTACTCATCGAATTATTTTTATGCTTTGGTTTTTCACTGGGAACCTCAGGCCTTTGTCTCCAGAGCTTGTAACCCTTTGGGGTCCAAGGCATGGTGGCTTGACACTGCTGCTCTGAACTCCAAACCTGAGGGAGCAAAGGGTCTGCTCCCCTCACCTAGAGGAAGTTGGCCTGACCTCTTAGGCTAGGGCAGGAAACACTAGCATTTTTATTATAATTGCAATTTGCTGAACACTTACTATGCATCATTCACTCTACTTGGCATTCTCATTGAATCCTCATTCTAGCTCATTAAGGTGGGTAGTGTTTGCCCAGGGTGAAACAATGGCATGGATGGCAGAACCAGGATTCAAACCTGGATGTCTCTGGACCCAGAGCATGTGGTAGAGTGTAGGAATCTGGCTTGGCATTTCCGCTTTGTATTCTACTCTGGGAATAACTGGAACTGTAGAATATTCAGGAAGGGGCCTGTGGGTACTCGCTTGGGCAGAAAGAGTGATGAGTTGTTCTCCAAGCTTCTGACATTCATCTGCCTCCCATGACAGCTCCCTTCATCTGTCCTGAGTTGTTCTCTCGTAGGGGCTCTGAGGACTCATTTGGCTCTCATATGCTGCACCCGATTGCCTGTTCCACTTCACATTCCAATGTTTGCCCTTCTTAGACCCCCCAGCTCCTTCCAGGTGGGATCAGCTTTCCTCTGAAAGCCCCTGTCACCTCACCCCACCGGTCCGGTAGGTCTGCCAGGATGCCCTCATATGCCCCTCCCTGAGTTCTGAAGTGGAAGCCCTGGGTTGGTTTCTTTGCAAAGGGAGGAAGACACTCAGGAATGCTGCTCCGGGATCTCTAAGATGCCCCCTGCCCTGTATGCAAATCACTCTATCATATGCAAAGCACTTCACAATATACAAATGATTTCACAATAACACAGTCAGCATTCCTGTCTCTGGAGGCTGAGGGCTGTGGGCCACCAGCCGGGGGTGGGCAAGACTCAGCCAGAAATGCCACTTGCTACCTTCTCACTGGCCTTTCCTTTCACCTGGCCTGGAATTTCCAACATCAGACTCTCAAATGGATTAAAGAAACAAGTGCTTTGGGGGTGGGAATGGGACCATGAGCATTCTTACTGACCAAGAGCAGGAGAGCCAGTTGGAAAGGCACAGTGGGTGGACGAATGTGTGGCTATTAAAAACAGTGAATTAGATCTCCCAGGAATTTCCAGGTATAGATGAGACATGAGAGATGCAGAAATATTTATTTACTATAAACCACTATTTTAAAACAATGACAAAAAAGGAACCTTGTATATGTGCATGCGATTAGAGGTATCAGTATATGTAAGTCCATGTATAAATGTGGGTAAATAAAAATATAGAAGATCACATATTAGGGTGATAAAATGGATTCCGTGGTGGGAGGAGGGAAAGTATAAAAGGAAAATGTTAAAACATATATATGATCACATTTATGCAATTCTGTAAAAATGAGATAAAATCTCATATGTATATACATACATACACACAGTCATGCACCACTTAAAGATGGAGATATGTTCTAAGAAACGTGTCATTAGGTGGTTTTGTCATTTGAACATCATAGAGTGCACTTACACAAACCTGGAGGGCATAGCCTACTATATATGCCTAAGTTACATGGTATACCACCATCGAGTATGCAGTCCCTCGTTGACCAAAACGTTATTCTGCAGCGCATGAATAACGCATATGGATATATATGTAATGGCCTCCTAGCTTGATGGTTAAGACAAACCAGATTCTGGTATTAGACTTCTTCGGACAAATTATATAACTCCCTATGACCGTTTCCTCATCTCTAAAATGGATTACTGTATTGGATTGTTGTGAAGATTAAATGAATGAATATACATAAAGGCACTTAGGACTATGTCTGGCATTTGGGAAGGTCTATTTAAGGGTTAGATATTATTATTTACATGTGTAGATACATTAGTATAAAGAAAATGTTACATCAATGAAAAGAACAGATAAATTAATGACATAGGGTAGGGGGCCACCCTTTCTCCTCTCCTTGCTGAGCACAGTTGAGTGTTTTCCAACATCCATCAGTCAGTTTGGAGGCCTCAGGGACAGATGCACTTCAACAGGGGAGGATGGGCCTGGACACTGCTTGGCTCTGAGTGGCTGGGGCACTGCAGACCCATTTCTCTGACTCCACTGGGTTGCCCAGGGTCTGACTTCAATACGTTGTTCCTGCTTCTGGTACCTTTACTGGGGCCTTTATTAGCAACACGGTCTCAGCCTTTTATTTTCGGAACATAGGACTGCCCGGGCCCGCTGACCAGGTGGTGCCTGAGAGGCCAGCATGGCCTGGCATTGACTGGCATTGCCGATGCTCTGCCAACTTTCCTCCACTTCTGGCAGTACAGGGCTAGAGGTTCTGCTTCTGGGGCGTGGCCTTCTTTTGAGGGCTTTCTGTGGGGGTCTGTGCAGGCAGGTAGCAATCTCTTGTAGAAAGGCATCTGAGGCTCAGGTCACACAGGTCACAGATGAAAAGAGGCAGAGCCTTGTGCTCAGCCAAGGCCTGCTTCTCCTCCAGAAGACCTGGCCTGCTGGAACCCCTGACCCTAACCCTCTCTCATGTTGTTCTTTCCAGAGCAGCCTTAGCTCCTCTGTGAGTTGCTGGGTGCTTTCTTCTCCGAATCCTGAGGCCTGGCCAGATAATGTCCCATAACTCCACAGGGCCTCTTCCCTCACCACCCAGCAACTCTTCCATGGGCAGCCCGTGTACAGCCATGCTTCATTATTTTTTGTCTGGCCTCTCTGCCTTTCTGACCCGCTTTGTAACCTCCAGCCCACCCCTGGCAGGCCTGGCCTGTTCTTTCCCTTCCACCATCTCTGTGGATCGAAATCCAGTCTGTTTACAAGGCCGCCTCCTCCCTGAAGCCTTCTGGATCTGTCCAGCCTGGGAGCCCCTAGTGTTGTGTGTCTTCTGGGTGCTTAGTCTTGTCCTACGTATACACAGGCCTCCCCACCCCCACCTGCCACTCACTTTGGGTTTCTGGAAAGAAAGACAAGCTTGTTTGTACCCTGAATAAAAGTCTGTCTGAATAAGTTTAATGTCTCCCTTTCTTCACTCCAACCTCAGGAGCGCAAATTGGGGTGAAATCCTGTGCGTTAGGCATTGTCATTTGAGCCTTTGCAGGGCCCTCTTTTATTTCATTTGTGTGTTCACCGATATATCCACTTACTTGTTACCCTGCCCCATCCCATCGCCCTGCCTCCTTCTTGGGGGAACTTGAATTTTTTGATCAGTCCTTTTTTTAAAATAAAGTTTTCACATACATACATTTATATGTCTAAACAATATTCTGATTTGGCTTTTAATAAGGGAAAAAGCTGTTTTAAGGTTTTCTTTTATATTACTCAGTGATCTTTATAATTGTTTTCCTATAGGTCCTTCATAGGTGTTAAAAAGTTTACTTCCAGGAATTTTACATTTTTGCAGCTATGTTGAACAGGATATTTCCCATTACATTTTGAACGACCTGTTGACAGTACACAAGCGCCAACTACATTTTCTTACTGGTCGTAACTTCTCAGTGTTACTCCTGAGTCTTGAGTATACTTTTGACTCTTTTGGGTGGGTAATCCTAACATCACCTAATAACAAAAGTATTATTTGTAGAGATATGGTTTGGCTTTCACACGTTGCAGGAAAGGTATTTATTTTCTGGGACTGGCTTTTTCATTCAACAATATGGTACTAAGATTCATTCATGATATCGTGTGAAACTGGTTCATTCGCTTGCACCGCTGAATGACGTGCCGCCGTGTGAATGAATCTACTGTAATTTATTTACCCATTCTCTTTTCCATGGGCATTTGAGTTGTTTCCAGATTTTTGCTGTTAAGAACAGTGCAGCTTTGAACGTTCTCGTCCAAGTCTTTTGGAGCACATGCCAAAGTTTCTCTTGATGTTATGCCGAGAGGGGATATGCCCGGCCGGAGCTTTATAAGATAAGGGTGATTGCGTGTGCTGTCATCCCTGCCACCAGCCCGCAGTTACATCGGTTGCATTCTGGTAACACGCTGGAGAGTCCGTGGCTCCACCTCTTCTCCAACACTTGGTGCTGTCAAGCTTGTTAATTTTTGCTCTTAGAATGGTGTAAATAGCATCTCATTGAGGTCTTCATTTGCATTTCTCTCATCACCAACGAGCTTGAGCATCCCTTAGATGTGCATCGAACAAATGTGTTTCCCTTTCTGTAAAAAAAAAAAAAGCCCTTTCATGTCTTTTATCTATTTTTCTGTGGGATCACTTGTTTTTTCTATGAAATTGAAAGAGTTCTGTACGTATTGTCGATGCTTATCCTTTGGGTCGTCCGCGGCAGACGTCTCCTCCAGTTTGTGGCTTGCTTTTCACTTTCTCTAAGGTGTCTCCACTTCTCTCTTCCCTCCTACACCTGTAGGACGCCAAAGACGCCCAAGGCATTGGGCCTGTTGGGCGGAGGGGGGAAAAGGAGAAAAGGGGTGGGGTTCTCATGTTGCCCCCGTGGAGACCGACCCCACTGCTGCTCCTGCTCCCTGGGGCTTTAAGGGACCTCAAATTCCCAGCTTTGGCTGAGGTGGCCTGGTTGGGGAGGGGGCCCTCTCTCGTTGGGGTGGGCAAGCTGGGGCAGGGAAGGCCTCACTGCGATGCCGCACCCCCCACCCCCGAGTTATTTATCACTTCCGGCCCCTCACCTGGGGGCCGGGCCCCTCTCTGCTCCGCTGGGCACACACAGCGCGCGGCAGTCGGCGCTCCCTGGGGGCAGCGGCCGTGGGGGAGGGGCGCTCTGGGCGGGCCCTCCGGAGGCGGGGGCGGGGGCCAGGCCTGCGGCGGGGCTCGGGTCGGGGGCGGAAGCTGCCGGAGCAGATAAGGGCCGAGGTCGGCCCTGCGGTGAGACGGTGCGGGACGCTGCCTCCTCCCACGGCCTCCGAGGAGCCCGCCCCCGCACCCCCTGTCTCCTACTACCGGAGCCGAGGTCTGTCTGGCGTCCCCAGCTCTCAGCTTAGGGCGCTGCAGCCCCGGCTGAGAACTCAGGAAGCAGTGGGGGATGGGCTCCAGCGTGCTCATTCAGTTCCAAACCTCAGTTATCTCACCTGGAAAATAGGGGTGGGAGCCTCCAGTTACCCTACAGGGTTGCCTAAGGTGGAACTAGCGCCGGCTGGTGAAGGGCCTCTGTGGCTTTGGGCATTTGATAAAGGGTGGCTACCCCAAGCTCCTCATTGCCCCCCGCCGTAACCCTGTGACTCTCCAGGCTTCATCACCACTGTATAGATGGGAAAGTGGGGGGACTCGCCGAAAGTCAGCCAGCACAGAGCAAGTGGGGTGGACTGCGAAACTCTTTCCACTGCCCCCGACCTGGGGACAGAGCTAGGTTTTGTGAAGCCTGATGCTTATATAATATTGAGGCCCCCTTAAAGAAAAGATGACGAAGTCACAAATACAAATTTGCTGACGCCCGTCTTCCAGGGCCTTGGAAGGGACGCAGGCAAGTGAGACGCTCAAGTCTAGCTTCTTGGTTTTCTGGCCCCACTCTGCAGGCCCCTGAAAAGGCTTACACCCCACTTACAGGAGAGGGCAGACACCACCATAGCTACAGGAGATAGGGTGGCCTAGCACGGCGCGGGGAACTGCCTGGAGGAGGCCCTGCTGCGCTGGTCCCCACCCCTTGCATGTCCAGGCAGCTGTGAGCCCAACCCAAGAGCAAGGACAGTCTGGCATTTGGGGGCTGCACCATAGCTGGGCAGGGCCAAACCTCCCAGTCCCATCTAGTCCTGATTAGGACCTCTAACCCTGTGGGCTGGGGTGGTAGGGACTAATTCCTAGGAGAAAAGGAAGGGGCACCTCTCTGGGGCAATGTAAGTGCGTCTGACTTGGAGGTACATGGGGCTGGAGTTCAAGCCCCTGTAAGGCCATGTGACCTTTAGAAGACTCCTTCACCTCGGTTTTTTCATTTATAAAATGGGAGTAATAATAGTACCTACTTGTCAGCTGTCATGATGCTTAAATGAGACCATGCGTGAAGAAGGGACGAACGCTTAGAAACCAATTTCCCTTCTGTGAAGCCTCCAGGCCAGGAGAGGCCTTTTTCTTTCCATTTTAGGGTGAAGTCACTTACCCTAGGGCCCCCTTAAAGAAAAGGTGACAAAGTCACAAATACAAATCTCTCAGATTCAGAGTTGAGATTTAAACCCATGACGTCTGGCACCAACACCCTGTTTCTAACCACCAGAGAATGCTGCCCCCTTGGGTCTCTCTCCGCAGGGAGTTAAGTGCCACTGCTAGGTGTGCCAGGCAGAGGAGGGAGCCAAGGGGAGCCTTCGATTCAGAGGGCTGCTCACCCAGCTGAATTTTATCATCTCAAAATTCCCAAAGCTGGAATTTTTCCAACTTCGACATCCAACGACCTAGACCAGGAGAAGCAGGAGACTCTGGTGATGGGGAAAAGCAGGGGAACTGGGGATAAGCCATGACCGCGGGCCTGGGCAGCAGTGACACCCCAAAAGGCTCGAAGTCTTCTTCCAAACAAAGTGGTGCTGCTTTGCCTTCTGACTTGAAGAGGATACCCCCTGGATTGGTGGCCAGACCCGAATTCTCATCTCAGAGCTTCACCTTTCTTGCCAGCTGAACTTACAGACACTGCTCCCTTCTGAGCCTCAGTATCCTCACCTGTGAAATGGAGCTAAGACTACCTGCAGCTGTGAGGATCACAAGACGTTGTGTATATAAAGTGCCTGGTGAATGGCACCAGTTGTTAAAACAGCTGTGGCTGTCTGAGCTTGAAAGGAGATATCTTGTGAGAGTAGGAGGTGTTCAAGCAGAAGGGAGGTGTCCTGCCAGAGCAGGAGTTTGCGCCTCCAAGGTCTCTATCCCGGGGAGGGATGGGAACCACAGCTCCAGCAGTCTCCCGGATTGGGACAGGTCAGAGCGAGGCCAGGGGCAGAGAAGAACAGGGAGCAGAGGTTCTCACCCTCACTCACGCAGGAGAATGGGAGAGGAGGGAGGAAGCAGGGCTTCTGGGAGGAGATGGAAGTGGCCGCTGCTGTGTGACGCGGGCCACACGAACACCGTGAAGCCCCATTCCATGACGACCTTTGTCTCTCTTTGCAAATTTTCAAGGTGGGCATTCTCCAGATGGGGAAACTGAGGCTCAGAGAGGTGAGACCACTTGCCCATGTTTACACACTGCACGCTGTTGGGTCTGTGTGGCTCTGCAGCCTGGACTCCAACAGTGACTGCCACTTTCTTATCTTATCTGCAAGGTTGTGAGTGAAACAGCGTGATCTCAGAGACTCAGGGATCTGAAGCCCTGCCACTGTCTCCTGAGAGCCCCGAGCTCCAGGCTAGCAGCTGTCCTGGAGACAGCGTGTAGTGAGAGCAGAGACGGATGGAGTAAGGGAGTGAGCGCACCGTCTCCAGAGAGCTTCAAGTAGAGGCATCCTGAGTCTCCTCCAGTGAACCCCAATGGCTGAGGAGCTGGAGGAAGGTCTGCTAGGCATCTGAGGGCATGGCTCGTAGTGGCCCCAAAACTAGCCGAAATGTTTCTGAAGTTCCTTATTTTATCTTAAAAATTCATACAGATTTGCGTCCTTCTTTTTCATATATCGGCTTTACTCCTCCCCATTTTTTCTAAAGTTTCTCCCCCTAAGTCTCTGCCTGGGTGGATGCTCCAGGAAGACTCGCCATGGCTCACGCAGTGGCTGAGTAGGTCCAGTGACTGCACAGTGGAGCCCAGTTCCTGGGTCCCTTGACCTGGTTTGAGTGCAGAGTGGGGGTCAAAGGCGTCTAGGGCTCTCCCTGCCTCTGCTCCATGCTCCTGCCTCGTGCCTCGGGCCCTCCGGTCTCCTCTCACAGACTTCTGTCCAACCCAGCCCAACGCTCCCACTAGGAATTCTCAGGATGCCTCACCCCTCCCTTCATCTCCTTGTCCAAAGGGGCACTGCCCATCTTCAGCCCTCGCTGTGCACGACCAGACCGTGACTCGGGGATGTCTGTGCCCATTATGAGGAAACTGAGGCCCAGAGACGAGAGGTGCCTGGCCCCAGGGAGCACAGCGAGAGGGTTGGGGTGGGCTCTCTGGGCAGGTGGGGTGCCTGGACCTGAGGAGAGGGCGCCAGATCTGGGCCCTGGCCAGGGAGGCGGGGGAGGAGGGAAGGCCGTGGGGCACCGGGGCTGCTGCCTGGCAGGCTCCTGTGCCCAGGGTAGGCTGCTGCCTGGCAGGCCCCTGTGCCCAGGGTAGGGAAGTTTCTTATTTCTCCTGCTCGACTTCCCCCTTTGATTTATTATAGCCATGAAATGCTCTGCTCTCTTCTCTTTTCCTTGCTGTCCTCGGGGCTGGAGGAGCACAGGCCTCCCCAGGCACCGGGCCTCCATCTCGCCGGACTCCCATCTCCTTCCGAGGGTTGAGCCCAGGGGCCCAGAAACGGGAGGTGAGTCAGGGCAGGCAGGGCGGGCTAAGGAGGGGCTCAGGCCTTCTAAAGCCTGGCGTGGGTAGGACCCCAGGGACTGGCAGAGTCTCAGTTGGGAAGGGCTGGGGCTGGGCAGAGGGTGTGGCAGGTGTGGACTTGACAGCAGATGGCTTCCTGGGGTCGTGGGGGTGGCAGGCTCTGGGCCAACGGCCTCAGTGAGGCTTGGGGATTGGACCTAGTCAGTGTCTGAAGGCCGGGCACAGAGTTCTCGAATGCCAGTCACTAGATCAGAGAAATGGCTATCTGTGACCCCTGACCCCATGTTCTGATTTAACAATGGCCAAAGCAGGCCTGCCTCAGGCCAGTCTAGGGATGGAGCTGAGAACTCAGGGGAAAGAATGAGGCTGGGAGCCTAGGAGACCCCAGGCTCCTCAAGGCCACAGCTGGACATCACTCGGTGGCCTGGCCCTGGTAGGTGAGGGCTGGAGTTTGTCTGTCCGGCTTCTCGGCAGGCCTGACGGCCGGAGCGTTTCTGCCCACCGCTGTGCGGTGCCTGTGGTAATGGGGCTGTTGGCGTTTTGCAATGGGCTGGGGGTGGGGAGGCTGCGCACACATGCTTCCTGTGGTGACTGGGCGCTTCCTGTTTTCTCAGGCGCCGGACTTGCTACTGCCGATGTGGAAACAGGGGCAGCTGCAGCCCGGGTGGCTCCCTGCTGGGCGCCCCGACTCTGCCCAGAGAGGCCTCAGTGGGCCCGCCACCCTAGGTCCCAGGCCGGTCAGCGAGTGGCCTGAGTTGCCCCCCACACTAGGCCCTCATTTTTCCTATCCCCAACAGCTTCTGCCAAGAGGAAGGGGCCACGCATGGCTGCCATTCAAGGCCAACCAGATGGCCCAAGAGGTCAGAAGCCCAGGGGTGAGAGCACGTGGCTTCGGTCTCAGCTCTGTCCTTCATTCACCGAATGCCTTTGACCATCCCTGACCCACTCCAGGCCTTGGTCTTCTCTGTTGCGCAGTGATCATGGCGCCCATGATCTAAACTCCCTCATCTCCCCCTCATCCATTTCTGCCCCAATTCCGACATTTCTTGATTTTTATATCCCAAGAACCTCAGCTTTGAGGACAGAGTGAGCACGGCGAGTGGGACCCTCGAAGGGGGCTCAGCATAGGCCTGCACAGAGCGGGAACTTGGGTAGACGGGGGGACAGAAAGAGCTCGCCAGGCAGAAGGCCACCCTGGAACGAGGCTCGGAGGTGGGATGCCAGGACCCAGTTTGGGAGGCAGGAGTGTTGATGGGACAGAGTAGTAGGTGACAAGGTTGATCCAGAAGGATTCAAAAATGGGAGGAAGATTTTAGAAACGTCTTTATTCCTGCAAACCTAAGGAAAGTGTTTGACACACCCCACCCCTCACATTCTTCAACAGAAGAAAGGCAAGCGATGGTTTGGAAGGTGGGGGCAGGGCCAGCCCCTCCAGTGGGATGAGAAGATGAGTGCCCATGTGGCGTGATGCGGGGGCCTCAGGAGGGACCCGAGCCTTTCGCCATCTGTCAGGTGCCTGGAGTTCCACCGTGAGGGCCAGGCCTTCGGATGGGACGGGACGCTGCCCTCTTCTCGAATGTCCTTTGTTTTGTTTTTAAGCTGCTATTGCAAGAAAGGGGGGGTGGGGAGCAGATGACTTTGCTTCTTGTCGAGTTTGCTTCTTGACAGCATCTGACCTCTTCGAGGAAGAGTTTGTTTTTTTTTTTTTGTTTTTTTTGTTTTTGCAGGAAGGCTAAGGCCTAAGCCCTCTGGGAACTGACCGGTCCACCGACTGAGTTCAGCCACCCACTTTGTGCAGGAAGTTCTGAGATGCCTGCCTCACCAGTAGCTCCCCTTACATCTCTAGGCCTGCCCATCACAGACAGCACAGAGACAGCAGAGAGGCCTCGAGGATCCAAGACCCCAAGGCACAGCCTGAGGGGCCATCAGGCCAGCCTGGGTTCCACCATCCTGTCCCCAGCCTTGGTGCCCTGGGCCAACCCAAGTGCTGAGTTGGCGGCTCAACAGCTGCTTCTGCCCACAGAGGCCCAGTTATAAATAAGCCCAATGTGGCCAAGTCATCAAGTTCTGTCTCAGCTGAATTACCTCAGTGACCACAGGTTGGGGCTCCCCAGAGCTGGACCCACCAGAACCTGCCCACCCAGGCCAAAGGCCGGGCCAGCCTTGATGCCTCCCGGGGTCCTCAAATCCAGGGTTTGAGCATCTGCAGCTACTCAGACCTGGGCCTCCCTGGACACAGGCCACAGAAGGGGCAGGGCCCATCCTGCCTGCACGGAGCCAGCAGCTATTTACAAACCGAAACGGGGAGAAGTGAAGTGGCTGTGGCCAAAGTGGCTCCAGGCCCCCAGCCCCCACTCCCACTCCATGCCCAGCAGCCCCATCCCCCCTCTCCCCATGGCTTCCTCTTTCCTTCCCCACACAGCTCCCCAACCTCCCACTGTTTGGCCAGCTCTCTCTGGACAACCTGTAAGCACCTCCCGGTGACCGCCAGCCCCACGGCTGCCAGCCTGCAGATGCCCTGCTCCTCTTCGCCCCCAGGACCCCATCAGTCTGGGCTCCTTAGAGCACCCCTCTCCCACCCGGGCCCAGCACACTCGCCCGCCCGAGGCACATTCCCACAGTTCTCAGTTCCCCTTCGTGCTTGGAGAAGCTCCAACACCAATGGCTGCCACCATGCTGGCCGTCCCTGCCTGAGGATGGCTTCATTGAGCACCCTCTTTCACAGGGGACCAAGGAATCTGGGGTGCTGTGGAGGAATCTGGGGCACCTGGGGGCTTCAGGGGGCATGTTTCTGGGTAGGAGGCCTCAGCCACCACTCTCAAGGTGAGTTTCAGCCCACTCTTCCAGCTGGCGTGGGTCGTAGGGCCTCGTGTAGTGCAGAATCGAGCTGGGACAGACCCTGGGCCCGAGACCACAGCATACCCTGCTTAGGAACTGGCAGGCAGGACGGTGCTGCAGCAGGGGACTGCTCCAAGGAGAGAAAACAGATGACACAATACTCGTTACTGATAATCGACGTATTCCCTCACGTCGGTGTGGAGGTTTACAGTTTATATCAGTAAATTCTTTCTGTCCCCAGAACAAGCCTTCTCATTATCTCCATCATAAAGTGGATACTGAGGCTCAGAGGGGAAACCACGTGTCTGACGCCACACAGCCAGAAAGTGTCCGCACTGAGGTTCAAGGTTTTCGAACACCCGATCCCTTTCTCTGTCTGACTGCCCCCTTGCTTCAGCTCCTACCTCGGTCTCCCTCCTGGGGGGACAGCAGTTACCCAGCACTGTCACCAAGGCAGAAGCAGGGCTGGCCTGAAGCTTGAGGGGAAGCAGGGCTTGGACAGCAGAGTTGTCAGATGGCCATCCCTCGCCAGGCCATCAGTGCCTAGGGCCCCAAGGGAAGGATCTGCCTGCCCGCTTCCTCCCCTCCCACCAAGTCCCAGGTTAGGCAAAAGGCCTAGCCTGACCTGCTCAGCCACAGCCAGTAGGCTGATTGAGTGTCACCTAACCTCTCTGAGCTTCCGAATCTTCTGTGAAATTGTCATTTCATAAACAGTGAGCACCTACTTGGTGCCAGCTCTACGATGAGTACGAGCTGTCTCTAGAGCTAGGGCACAGCCCCCGTCCACAGTCTCACGGAAAAGGGAGACGACAAAATCCTGAGATCTCTGAGAGGGAAACTGAGGCCATGGGACACCGAGAGGGAGTAATTAATGCTTCCTGGGGTGGGAGGGGTGCCACTTGGGATGGGCCCTGAGGGACAGGAAAGAGTTTCCCCAAGAAAAGCAGGGGGGGAAGGGCTCTCCACTCTGAGTCACACCCCTGTGCCTTGGCCTCAGCAGTTCCCACGGCCTGAGTGTCCTTCCTTCCTCTGAGCCTGGTGAACTCCTAGCCATCCGTCAGGGCCCATGGGCACACCATAGCATGACCAGGCCTGGCCTGGCCTGGCAGCTCCTCACCTCCCCTTTCCCACCGAGGGCCTGAGCAGACCCGGAGGTCAGGCTTTCTTGGTCACAACGCCCTCGTCAGCCCCACCCAGGCAGGCATCTGCTCCTGAGCTCCAGCCCCCGCCTTCGTCCCCTGCTCCGAAAAACACCGTTTCCCTTTTCTGGGTGACCACACGCCATGCACAGGGAATTTCCATCATAGCCTGCGGAGCCTCTGATTCACTCAGGCCCCTCACGCAGTTAACTCCTTCCGGCCCTGTGCCTTCTGCTCCTGCACCCTAGGCTGCCCCTCACCCTGCCCGGGACCCGCGGGCAGCCTCACACTGGCCTTGGGCCTCTCAGTCTGCAACCCAAAGTCAGCATCTCGCCCACTGGTCCCCTCGGGGCCCTCTCACTCCCATCGCATCCACAGAGGACCCCTGCCCTGAAGGCTCATGGCACAAACACTGGGGCAGCTTTGGGCTGAAAGCACAGGCTTTGGAGTAACAGAAGCCTAGGTCTAATCCTGATTTTGGCCCTTTCTCCTCTGAGCTGGAGCAGGGTAAGTCTCCGCTCTGAGCCCCGGTTCTCATCTGTAAAACGGAGGTAATTCCTGCCCCAGAGCCTTGTAAAGATCCAGTGCGCTGGGCCCGTGACGGGAGCTCAATAATGATTTTTCCTTTTTCCT